TATTTTACCTCATGTAGAGTATCATAAGTGCCCCAATGTCATTTACTTTCCTACCCAACATCCCACTCCCTCAGATTTGATACAGTATATTGTAGACTGAAATTCAACAATAATTATTAGATTGCTTGGCAACATTGATGTATTATTCAGAGGGCAATTTCATTTGAATAATTCATGGAGTATATATGAGTCGGTTAAAACATTCCAATGTACATGTGCATTCATAATCTTAGATACTGTGCTCAAAAATATTGTAATATTTGCACGTATCCAGAAAACTGTTTTCCAATGAATTAATATTTTTCCGTTGATGCCAGCTAAATTTGAAGTGGTTTCATTTATGTGATATTGACACCCTAGTATAAAAAAATCTCAATTTGTATTGTTTTTCTCTTTTTTTTTCATTCACATGCAATAATTGGCAGCACCTACATTCCCCATGGTAACCCCTCCCCTCGTTTTTTTTAATTAACTAAGTAAATGAATTCAGTGCCCTGATGATATACAGTCTAGGAAGCTTATAATTGCCACAATGTCCCGTCTACCACTTATTTATCAATTAAGAAAATTGTTATCACAACAACATCTGTCTGTTTCTCATGTGAGTTTAATGAGGCTTCCCGCTCACGTCCTTTACATCGTACCCCCACATGAACATTCACCTTTGGATTGGACACAATTCACAACATTTTAAAAAAATGTGGTGGATAGTGTACGGTGGTGATTTACCGTAAATTTAACGCAGGCACAAAAAATACACATTTTAACGTAAATTATTATATGAAATAAAACTGATTTTTGGCATCTAGATCAAATTTAGATGCGAGCACGAAAGTGGTAGGTAGCTGATAAACGGGGTAAGTAACCGTCGTGTAACGTAAACGTCTGGGATCGAAAGTCCATCAATCTCCAGTCATTGTAACGGACATAGAGATTTAATCGTCGTTGTTGTCATGCACGAGTACATATCGTGTAATGTCTAATGTCTCACTGTTTTGTTATGGGTGGTGTTTAATCGCACGTACCTGCTATTAGTCTGACAACGCATGACATCACACATCTGTAGATAAGACTGTAGTGATGAGGCGAACATTTCCTCCACTGTCGCCATCTTGGTACACGGAATAACGCTTGATCCGATTGGTTGCGAAGATAGAGATCTCGTGTGCGGTTTCTTATTGGTCCATAGTTTGATAAAGTTTTGGGAAGATGTTATATAAGGTACCGAGCACTCGGCAATAATTAATATATGTATAGTACTAGTTTGTTAATAAATAATAATGTAATAACACGAAATATGTGTTTAGTGAGGTTTTTAAATATGTTTTTAAAAAGTATGTATTATTTTTACTAGGCAAGGTCGGCTAATTCGGCCATCACTGTAGCGAGTAAGTTAACACCGAGTTTGCGACACCGTGCGATTCAGACGATGAGAAGGTATATAGTATATAGGTTTTGAAACTTTAGGAGGACACCACAGATTTTTTTTACCTTTTGCAAATGAGTTGGCAGACGTACTTGAATTAGTTGATAAATTCTGACCAGGTGCCGTTTAAATTGACTGGGGTGTCTTAAATGGCCCCACCGTCCCATTACAGAGGACGAAATTCGCCGTAGTTCTAGTATTGGCAGTATTAAGAATGATATGCCCGTAGGCCTAGATGAGTTTATTGGAAAATTATTTAAATATTTGGGTTATATACTATTGTGACAATTATTTTGAATCAAACATTTGAATCTGGCATTTTTGTATTTTAACCGCATGGTTCAAAGCAATTATTATTCCGAGCCTGATGACCCGGAACATTATAGACCAATTTAAAATAAATTACAAAAAAATAGACAAATTCTACTGTGCATTTATCGATTTCTCCAAGGCGTTTGATACAATCGAGAGTTGACGACTATGTTACATGTTATTCTTAAACAATATAACGTTTTTAAAATGTTGTCGAGCATGTCACGGTTATTCCGATAAAATTGCATAATTTGGTTGTAACATTGGCGTTCGCATTGAGTCATTTTTTTTTCATAAACGAATTGTCACGCGAACTTCAGCAACGACGCAAACTTTTCTGTAAAGATTTGCTGATGATGTGTAGTTATGTTCTCTGGTACTATAATCTGGTCTTTTGACAAACTAAGTATGTATTGTGTTATGTGAGAAATAAAAACAACAATCATGCTCTTTAAAACGGATGGTCACGTGGTCTCGATCAGAAGTCTGGGTATATAAAGGTGTAGTAAGCTCGTAGAAGTAACTTCACATGTACATCTTGGAATTGTCTTCTATTATAGACTTCATTGGTCATCGGCGACAAAAAGACTGGTGCAGAAACCACGAAAGGTTTTGTTTGCGATCATGAAACCCGTAAATGATTAGAACTTGTAAGAAGTTTTTGCAAATTGTCATATAACGGTTTCAAGTCAGTATCATTGTCTAGAGCATATCTAATATCGAGCGTGTAGATATTCCTTTGGTGTGACAAACAAATTACCCAAACAATTTATGTTATAGGTGATAGGTGATAACCGATCTTCTACTCCCAGAACATTCGTCCCGGTGTTACCACTATCACCCACGCGAGATATCGTGTGTTTATCATTGTCAGTATAACCAATAAGCATTTATGGATGTGCAACAAGTTACCAACATGTATGCTATACCGGTATCTTACAAACATTTCTGTACAATATTTGTTGAACGAGTTGATGATGATTCTTTTAAATATTAGATTTCGATTGACGCGCAGTATACTCTCGCATTAAAAAAAGATTAACATTGACATTTTTCACTGCACTGACTACAGCTACGATAACAGTGTTAGCTTGAGCAATTATCCCTAAGGCCATACTGATTTAATTTTATGGATGATATCCTCTGGAGACCCCAAAACTAATGCGAGAGGGCGAAAAAAAAATCCTGCCAAAAAAAAAAAAAAAAAAAGAAAAAATGCTGCTAAAACCACAGGACTATGAAGCTGGTATTACGAATTGAACCACAGAACACAGTGTATCAAAAAACAACAACAAGAAGTCTTTATTTGTAGGAGGCACATGTTGATGTACATATCTCGTACTGTATTACTGTCACATGTATCATCACCTTTGATTTTGAAAAGGCAAGAGAATAAGGCAGATGTTATAGCTTTGCCAAAGGCATACACATCAACTCAATAATAAAGAAACACTTACTGTGTTGTAATGAAACAACAAATAGAATTAAAAATGAACAATAAGTTTGTCAACAGCAACCTGGAAATTAACTTCTTTGACATTCAAACTACAGCTTTTAAAGTGATACTTCAACTATGTAACAAATTATAAGAGGCTCAATATTGAAAAAAAAAATACCAACAGAAAGTCAACAAAAATTTGGATGCAGAAAATTATGTACATGTATCTTGATGAAAGTTCGTCATATGATCAAAATATTGCTGACTGTGTGTGCAAGCAAAATATCCGAATCAGAAAATGAAAAAAAAAATAAGAAGAAATGCGGGACAGCCACTCTGGACAATATGTCCTTAAAGTTGTCTGGACGAAACTCGCTTGCCGCTACCAATCTCTCCCATAGCTGTGTAAACGTCACATCTCCCTGGCCGACGTCAATTGCGTACTATTCTACAACAATCCCTTCGTTTTTCCTCTGAACTTTTATGCTCACGTATTTTGGTGGCGTGGTCTCCATGTTGGAATTCCCGGCAACGCAATGCGCATGTGCAGAAGATCATGTGTGACAAAATTGGCACGTTTTGAGGTTGTCGAAAATGAATTTTACGACAAGCCAGCGTTTTGCGATAATATGAGTCGGCAAGTTCCGGACAGAAAACCGATCTGTGGAGACCAGTCGTCGGAGATTTTTTTTTTTTTTTTGAGAACAGGCGAAAACTAATGCGCGCGTGGATGTCATCCATAAAATTAAGTCGGTGTGGCCTAATGGGTCTAAAAAAGTTAAATAACGTCACTTCTCGTTGGATTCTCCCCAGACTAGGATTAGTGTGAGGATTGTCACAGAGATTTTTTCAAAAAGTACTTGACTGCATCCATCACGCTACAATTTATATATTACGAGATGAGTGTAAATTGCGATCATTGTTCGTTGGCGTGCATGCATGGCCAGAACAGTCTTACAGTGAGATCGTTTGAGTTCGTGATTTCCTGTGACATTAACTAGTGGCGCGCCCTCGGTGTCCGGTGTAAGAAACTCGAGTTTAAAGAACCGGACACGCGAGCACTACAAGTTTCAAACGTAAATTTAATGAGTTCAAATGTTTTAGTTTAAAAAAGCAACAGTTTTTTAATGAAATAATTGTGATAGACAACTACTATTCGAGAGCCCCAGACATTTTATTTTGGCAAATAATTTTACATTTCTCTATACACTTTCGGCTGTGTACACGCGACTACAAATAATATTACGTTTCATATGATGGCAAAGTTCCGATGAAAAATTACTGTGAAATAGTATTTAATATTTAATTATTTGTTCCATTGTTTATTTATTTATTGTAACCCTTTTAAGTAAGGAGCTCACCAAAGCAACATATAGGAAGAAAAATAATTAGGAGCAGCCAAAAAAAAAATATGTCTAAAAATACATATAATTACAAAAAAAATGGCATTTAAAAATCACACATGATTTTTTTAGTTCAACTGTATCAATGAGGAATTGTTTAAAAATGCTGAAAATGCCCAAGAAAGAAATTAGTAGCAGTCCACGGGTTGAATTCATTTTTATTCAGTGAGGTGTGTTTGATTGTATTCATCATACTTTCTCTCCGGTTTGAAAAAGCGTCACATTTCAAGATGAAATGTGCTATTGTTCCAAATTCATTTCTACAAGGACACGGCAATCTACGAAATTGTATGAAAACAAAAGATACAAGTTACTATGTGCATGAGGGCAGTATGATTACTTGGAAGTCCTCCGCCCACTGTAGTTAAAAACAGTGACTGACAGGCTCCTTGGCAACGAGGTTAGCGTCACATAGAAACGA